CTCTCATCTGTAAAATGGAATTTAAAATTGAGCTGATGGCGCTCGCCTATAATTCTAGCATTTAGGAGGCTATAGAAGTTCGAAGCCAGCTTGGTTTACATAGCGAGTTTCCCCCTGGGCTGCATACCGAGACTTAAAAGGGGAGGAATCGTTGCCTAGCAAGTCATACTGGGCCCCAGCCCCAGCATCAGTTAGTCAATCACTCAGTCAATCAATCCTACTCATAGTGTGTATGAATTAGTAAATTAATGTTGGTAAAGTGGGTAGACCTGTGAGAGGTATAAAGGAAACCCTCCATACATTTTAGATATCATTACTACTCAATTATCCAACAAGCATCTATAGAAGGTGTGTGAAGCCTTGGTGGGTGTGCAGGGAAGTGAGGATGAAGCCAGCAGATAGGCTTGCTCTCCCAGAACATCTTTACTGCTACATAAGCAAACTAGATACTATCAGCAATTATTAAGGACTACGGGAAGTGGAAGCAAGGAAGCAGACCAGCTAACCGCTGAGTTTGAGGCCAGCCTGGGAGCCTATCTTAAAAAAGAATCCAAGAAGAGAGGGACCAACTAAGTCTCGGCCCTTTAGGGTAATAAAGGGAGGAGGCGACTGTGGGGCGCTATCAGACTCGCGCATTTTAGTCCCAGGACGAAAAGTGGGAGCATCTGGGGCGGCAAGGACTCGGAAACCCCATCCTCCTTTGCGGCGGTGGCTGCAACGTTTGGACCACACTCGATGGATGTGAGAATTCCGCCTGGGAGGAAGTCTGGAATCCAGGGACTGGGGCCAAGCTTCTCGGTGGGAGCTAGGTATGCTCTCAGCAGAACCCTGGATAGCGAATTCATCCCCTCTTCGATCGCTTGGGACCCACCGTGTGCAAAGCCGTTTGTTTTAAACTTTCCACGGTTCCCTGCTGCAAGCTCAGAAGCACCACTACCCTCATTTATGTAAGTCCAAATTGTGGCTTTTACAAGGGAGAGGTTGTGCCCACCAGTGCCTTCAAACCTTGAACTTGCCCCATGACACTTTCAGTTTTTTGAGTAGGAAAAATGTTTTGAGGTGAGAACCTTCATTCATGCCTGTCATGAGTCACTTCCCTGCCTGTGATCTCATTTCATCATCAAAGCTATTCTGAGAGATGATTTTTCTTTACTTCTTCTTTACTTACTTTTTCAACTTTTTCAGATGAAGACACAGAGGATTTAAAGAGTAAGGTCCCTTTAGTAAAAGCCTGTCTACTCCAGAACCAGAGCTATTTCCATCCCCTCAGGAAAATGAGAACTCAAGCTCAAACCCAAGCCAAGAGAGGACACCTACACAGGGCAAGGTGAAGTCACCTTCTGGTCCTCCTCCACAGCTCCTTTCCATTCCAAGGGTCTATGCCACAGAACTCATGGTGCCACAGAGTGAGGTGCAATCTCTTCCATTTCAGGAAAGGAAACTGTTCATCTTTGAATGGAATATGTGACACAGAGCACAACCACCTTGACCTTGACTCGCATGCCCAGGGAGGCTGCCTACCTCTATGAACTCTGTTCTTCTATATGGTGCTGAGAATCCAGAGACAATTGGAATGGATGGGGTGCTTTCATTGTACAAAGTGAAACTTTTATTCATTCAACAGATATCTGTTATCTACCTTAGGCCAGACTGGGCACTGGGTAAAAAATACTGAACAAAACAGACACTCTCAGGCACACAGGGAGGAAAACAGGAGCCAGAGCTCACTCAGCTGAGGAGCCCAGGATTCCTTCTGCCAGCCAGGGCTTCAACCTTGCTGATGAGTTTGTTTGAGGCATTTCAGCTAAGGCCCCTCTTGAAGACAGACAAGTGTTAGAAGCCTTTTGCCTAGACCCCAGAGGACACTCTAGCTGCACCGGCAGAGGTCCACCCTGACCTTCTGTACAAACAACCGACCACATTGGTCTCATCTTGATAAGGGTCAGAGAGCACCCACTTAGATCTTGAATGGTGAAGGGTGGGATGCTGGTGGGATTTTAAAAAGAAAAACCTGCTCCAAATGCTCTTGAGATGCACACTCCATTACTCTTCAAAATATTTGGAAGCCAACAGCAAAGACTTTCAAAAGAGATGTAATTCGGCCCAGGGCACAATGTTAGAGAATGGCCCACTGAGGTTAGAACTGGGCCTATGAGAACCCCAAACCTGGGGTTGCCCTCCTCCCCACAAGGTCTTTTCCTCGGTTGGACAGTGTCAGAGGCCACTGCACCAGCCTTGGGGAAACCGCTTCTTCCCTGACTTCCTGCGCAAGCCTTAGGGGAGAGGCACCGGCGCCAGCTTGGCTCACTCTGCGGGAGGGAGAAGGTGGAGCGCTCTGGCCACGGCTGGCTCCTGCAGGTATAAGAAGTTCAAAATATTCCACTCTCCATCCGCCTGGGCGCCCAAACGCCAAGAGGAACAGAACCACGGTTCGAACTCTTAACCCAGTTTGTTGCAGACAGGTAGTTTCTCTCTGGGTCTCCAAAAGTCTCGAAAACTTTTGCGGTAGTTAATATTTTTTAAAAAGTTAAATAATAATTAATAATGATAATAATAACAGCAGGGATCTCTTTGAAAAGGTGATGGAGGTGGGTATATCGGGACCTTTCACTGGCCAGAAAATCTGAAGGCTCTTACCTGCAGGAAACCCAGCAGCCTGCAAAAGCGCATCCTTCTGGAGCGCTTCGCTTTCGGCGGGGGACAGTTCTCAGCTGCCTCCTCTGCAGCCAGCCTGGGCTCCGGCCTTGTGTTTTATACCACTATAGGCAATTAATATTGCATCAGCCGTATTTTAAATTTTCAAAACCCACAATATAATGTAATGGCATAAGGGCATTTATTATTAAAGGACACCCGATGGAGAGGGAGGTGGAGGAATCGCTGGGGCTGCGCAAGTCGGGTGAGAGGGGCTGAGGCCTTCAGAGCTAAGGTCTATCCCCAAGTTTGCTTTTACAGAGGTGGGGACAGGATGTGGCCGCCAGGACGCTAAACGGAAACCTACTCTGTTCTGAATTTCAGGCCAGAGTCTAAGACCCACAGCTCTTTGAAGACTCGTGGAGGAAACATGCAGAGGACTCCTGGTCTTGTAGCATTAATTTTTAAACCACAAAGGTGTTTCTGCGGCTCACACGAATTCAAAAAAAGTTTCTGTTCATATCGAGTGGAAAGAGAGAATGGTATTGGCATTTGCTGACACCTACTGTGTGCAGGGCATTGATAGGTGCTTTGCAGCAAGCATCTCAGTCCCTCCAGAGAAACCAAGATAGACTATTCTGTGAATAATCTCCCAGATGACAATTTCAAATGAATTGCTGAAGAAACCCTGGAGGAAACACAAACACTATCCCAGAGATTATTTTTCTCCCTCCTTTTCTCTACCCCCTCATCTCTCCAGGCATTTGAATCCATTAAAATAATATTTTTTTTTCTTATTAAGTGCCAATGGCCACCTACCAGATGCCTTACTCAGTCCTGACCATAAGTGTGAGATGGGTGTTAGACCTTCATTCTGCAGAACAGCAATCTTGTCCAGGCAGCTTAGAGAGAAGTTAGGAAACTGACCTCAAGGTGATTTAGCCGGTGAGGCATTGGGGTCTGAACTTCCATTCCTCAGGCCTTCAACTTTGCAACATGAGTCAAGTTAAGAGAATTGTCTGGTAGATTGGCATCAAGAAGCATGGAGGAAATTGCTTTTGAAAGCACTCAAGAGCCAGAGAGGTGAAGCCAAACCTCCTTGTGATTGGGGTAGTGAGAGATCACTGGGGAAGAGGATGACTGGGAACTGATGGGCAGTAAGTGATAGGCCAGCCCTTAGAGGTTTTCATTTTTAAATCCTTCCCAAGACTAGTAATATTTACCACCTGAGAAGGAAAACTACTGCAATTCAGGTTGAAAAATAAAGCATTTATTTTGGAAGTTAATTCAAGGGATAAAGAGAGAAGAAAACTCAATGTTTTATTTTTTTTCTATTCCAAGAATGAAACCAAAGGTCACACAGCAACACACAAACAATATGAAGCAACGAAAAATAAAATTGAAGGGGGCCAAAGTGTCAGCAGTGAGAAGGGTCCTGTTCAGTGTCCTGCTCCTTTGGGGTTCAAAACTGTAAGTGAACTTCCACTGAGAGACACATAGAGAGGGCACATAAAGGATACACATAAAGGAAAAGTGAAGTTAAATAAATAAGAAAAATTATCAATGCTAACAGTAACAGTAGTAAAAGTGCAACGAGGTTAGATGTGTTGGAAGGACTTGCATATGCTTTATGGAAGTTACAGTTGCTTTGGACACTGGGCCAGTAGTCTGACAAGAGTAGTTTTCTGAGATGGGGGAGTCCTCAGTCACTTTGGTGGGGAACACCACCAAACTCCAGCAGGTAGTAAAAGAGAGCCAGAGCTTACGCTTGTCTCTGGTCATCAACAGCCAAGAGATACCAGCATTTTCAGTGGCAGTAGTGGGCTCATCTTGCCTGGAGTCCTACTTAGGCCCACAGCCCAAACCCCCATCTCCCCAGCACACTTTCCCTGAACTTAATTTATGCTACTTAAAGAAAATGTACGGTAAACCAAAGGATAGAATTTAGGCGCAGAAAGGAGCATAAGGCTACCCTTTGGAAACATGGGTGTATTTTATATACGTTAATAAAATCTCCAAGTCCGTGTTCCACTTAGATGTCCTAGATTTTATAGTATTATGTATCACTTCTTTTCCTTACCTTTACCCTTGCCTAAAGGCGCTTTCACCCAGTCAATTCACTACCCTAGGCCTTGGGGTTACTGCCCTGAGGTCGCGCTGTCAGGTGCTCAAGGGCGAGTTTCAGCACCGCGGACAGCACAAAGTCCTACCAGGCCCGCTTAGAATTTTTTTTCCAGCGCCAAAACATTTTGGTGGGAATAGAGAGGAAAAAGGAGAAAATGAAGCCCGGGAGGCAATCAGGCCAAATAAAGAGGAAAGTCTGTGACTTGGGGGAAAGAGCCTGACCTGCCAGGAAACACCTTGGCGTTTCCCGTAACTGACCCTCCCACAGGAAGGGGGCGATGCGCACTAGGCTCTGCCGGGGTCCTCTGGGCGCCGCACCCCGCCGCAGTCAGTGGACAGCCGAGTACTTCATTCGTTTCTGTTTTTGTCTCTGGTTACAGAACCAGACCCTCACCACATTCTTTTTAAGGTCCAGTTTCTCGGCGATGGCCGCGATCTTCTCGGACGAAGGACGTGGCTGGATGGCGAAATAGGCCTCGAGTGAACGCTTCTCCGGCGCGGCGATGGACGTGCGTTTGCGCTTCCGTTCACTGCCGTTAAAGAGCTCCGGCTTGCTGTTCTTCTCTCGGTAGGCGGCCTCTGCCTCCTCCAGCCAGGCCTGGAGTACCGGTTTGAGCGCAATCATGTTGTTGTGCGACAGAGTGAGAGACTCGAACCTGCAGATGGTGCTCTGGCTGAGCGAGCCCACGCCAGGGATCTTGAGATTGGCTAGAGCCGCGCCCACGTCCGCCTGGGTTACCCCCAACTTGATGCGCCGCTGCTTGAAGCGCTCTGCAAAGGCTTCCAGCTCTCGAGGGTCTGATTCCACGTCGCTGAGGCATGTGGGCATGGCGCTGTGCGGCGCCACTGCGTGCGGATGGCTCATACCCATGGCCTGGTGCAAGTGGCCCATGGCGCCTAGATGGTGCGGGTGGATCTGTGCGGGCATCACCGAGTGCTCGGGGGCCCCCAAGCCGCTCACGCTCAGCGTGGGCGAGATGTGCTCCAATAGGTCGCCTTCGAGGCCTTGGTGCACCGCGTGGTGCGGGTGCGAGGTGAGCGCAGCTGGGTGGGAGATGGGCACCGTGGACGAAGTGGACGTGCAGGGCACGCTGCTCATGGTATGGTAGGTGGCGTCGGGCTTGAACGGATGGTTCTTGCCGTGGGAGACGATATCCACCGCCGCCAGAGCTTCGGCGCGTGCCAGCAGGCTCTCATCAAAGCTTCCAAATATATTACCCTGCAGCTGCAAGCGAGAAGGCGCACAGCACGGTCAGTGGGGAATACTGTCAACTCAGGATTAAAAGACATTTTCAAGCAAACGAGATGCCTCTCCTCAAAGCCCAGGTCATAAAAATTAATACAGAGGCATCAGCTCTGCTGGAACAGACGTGTGGATCAGACACATGAAAGAGAGAGAGAGGGAGAGAGAGAGAGGGAGAGAGAGAGAGAGAGAGAGAGAGAGAGAGAGAGAGAGAGAAGGAGAGGGGTTCAGACAGCGGCGATTGTTCTGGGCTACATGAAAAAAACATGAAGCCAATGCCTGTCAAAAAATGTGCCTTAGAGCGGTAATTATGCTCCGCTACGTACCTGCGGGGCTGGGAGACAAACTCGGCGCATGGCTTCAGAGCCGGAGTGCAGACTGGAGAATTTGGGTTCTTGCAGCACCGGGTGCATGCCGAAAGGCTGCTTGGCGTTCATGGCCATCATCTTCTCGAGTCTGGCAGGGAGGCAGCGGGGGACATGGAATCAGGCTCTTCTTGCTGGCTCTCCGCGCTCCAAGTGAGCGCCGCTCAGCGCCCGCGCTCCCCTCGCCCTCTCTCTAGCTGCCTCCCCTCTCCCCCACCTGCTTCTTCACTCATCTTACAAGCAGCCTGCCAGGAAGGGCCCGGGCACGCGCATACGTGCACACGCGCCCGGGACTCGCAGGGGCGGCCGGAGAGGCAAGGCAAGACCGCAGGTCTCAGCGCGCCTCTCTCAGCCTGCCGCGGCCGCCCCTCCGCAACATTTATACCCGGGCCTGGCCGGGCCTCTTCCTGTCCGCCCCGCCCCACCTGGCTCCAGCCCGCTAGACTTCGAGGATTCTCTCTTCTTACTCCTGGACTTTTTTCAACAAAGTCTCAAAGCTCTTGTCCTGTCCCAACTCTAAGTACCTGGATAAAAGTACAGGCTCAGACTGAGCTGGAGCAAGGACTCTACCCAAGCCCAACGCCCCCAACACACACACACACACACACACACACACACACACACACACACCCACACACAACGTCTGTCGGTGGTCGCCTAACGGGCCATTTCCAGGGCGCTCCTGGCCCCATGCCGGAGTCCAGCACCGCGGCTCAGCCACCAAACGCCACAAACTGCCTGGGCAAGAACCAGGGGCTACCTGGCTAACTGCCTTTCAGAGTCACAGGACTTTGGTTTCCTCCCACCGGGCGTTCATCTGAGAAAGACAATTTAGCCAACTCTCCTTTTGCCCAGTCTCCAAGTTGTCTCTACAATAGTAACAACTGAAAACAGCCCTACTGGCCTGGGAAATCCCTCCGTGCAGTTCTGCAAGGCCACCAAGGTTAACCTGCTCCAATCCCTGTAATAAACAGCTACCATTTTTGAACTACTACTATGTGCTAGACAATTCAGAGTTAGTTTATGGGCCGGTTCTGCCAACACTATGGATTGGATCCTGCTATCCCGTTACATAAAGTGAAGAAAACAGGAGTCTGAGGAGTTAGCCTAAGACCTCACAGCTGGGCGCAGAGCCATTCACTCACCTATTCAGTTATCCAACCCACAATATTCACTGATCGCCAGCTGAGTGCCAGGCACCACGTTTGACTTCCGGCTCTTGATCACTTAGTCTCTTCTTCCTTCCGAAAGTTCCCGGACTTGAGGGTCCTGGAGTTTGTACTGCCCCCACCCCCTGTACCTTCTACCTTCTTTTCCCACTTTCCTCCTTTCTTTCCCCTCCTTTACCCGGAGCTAATAAACATCGTAAATAATGAATGGGGAATCCTGGGACTGCGGCTGCAGGGGCGCCGCCTCCGGGTTGGAAGAGAAAACCCCGAGCCTAGCTGTGCAAGCGCAGTCCCGGCTGCTGCCTCCACCTGGGGAGCAGGCTTCGGGTTTGGGTGGCTTCGCGCAGCCTGTAAGGTCTCCCAAAGTGTATTCTGGGTTTCCCAGATCTTAGCACGTGGGGGCAGAGTGAGGAGGCCTAGTGATAACTTTGGCCTAAGAGAACGATCATCCTTTATCTGGTTCCCCTCTCCCCTAGGGACCTGCCAACCCCTTCTCTACCGATTCAGACTCACAGAGAACCAGAAATCCACCTGCCTCTGCCCCTTGATTGCTGGGATTAAAAACATGTGCCACCATGCCCAGTGGCAGCTGAGATTTTTGAAATGTAGAATACATATCAGAACAACCCACCTCCATAGGGCTGGGTCAATAGCTGCATTCTGACACTGGGTCAATATCAATCTGGCTGGGCCTCATTTTACCAAAAAGAAGTGGATTGTACTATATGATTGCTAAATGCTTCCAGCTTTAAGAAAAGGCTCCCATGCCAGTTCATTTGTAACACATTTTGAGCAAGCCAGAAGTTTCTGGCCAGAACCTCTCAATTCCCCAAAAGCCAAATACAGTACCATTTTTACCTCCCACCAGCATTTAGGACTAGGCAGTTTTGTTTCTTGCCCAATGTGAAATCAAAGGGGAAAAGAGAATTAAAATGGGGGCACTGGATCTATAGCTTTCCTGGCTTGCTGGAGCTCTAAGACCCACTCTCACTCCCTAATCCCACAGCTGTCCGTGAGGACAGACTTAGAGAAAGGCTAATCCACACCCACCTTCTTTCACTGCTCTCTCCCTCAGAGGTCTGGGAGATACTGACCAGGATCAAAGTCAGGCAACAGTCAGAGACTGGTCAAAACCCAGTGACTACTTCCTTTGTGTTCCCAAAGCTGACTTTTACTTTACCATCTCCACCTCCGGAACTCTTGAGTGTTAAGATCACAAATCAAGAACAACCTCCCTTGAACAACATTGGTGCCTTACACATATGCAGGCAATATACTCATATACATAAAGTGAAAATAATAAATAAAATATTTTGAAAAAGGGATATCCTCCATATCCCTTTCTTTCCAGAAGGCCTACTAGCAATGGCATACAGTTAGTAGTAACCTGACACTTAACCCCTTTTTACTATTGTACCATTTTTAGTATTTAGTTTGTGTCACATTTTAAAATTAACCCTTTATGCAGTGCCATCATCAACATGGTTAGAACTAAACTATCGATTAGTGTGAAAGATAAGACATGTAAATGAAAAGGAAGCAAACTTTTTTCAATTGGAAGAAATCTTCTTTCCTTAATCAGGAAGACAGTTAAATTATTGAAAATAGATAGATGTTGTTGTGAACCCCTGTAATCCCCATCCTTGAGACATGGGTGAAGAAGGATCAGGAGTTCAAGACCAATGTTGGTGACAATAAGAAGCTTAAGGCCAGCCTGGGCTTCATGAGATCCTATCTCAAAAAACCAACCAATCAACAAAACCCCAAATAATTCTCTTACAATAGGTTCCTGGGGTGATTCTTAGAAAAAATATTATAGTTATGCCTAAACATAAACCTATACATGGAGACAGAGTAAAACTAAATTCTCAAATATTAAGTTGCAGAAAGGGGCTGAACTTTTTAATTTAATTATTGTGATCATTTTAAAAGAGCTTTGTGGTGTGAGCCTTTTTTATTGGCTGTCTTCAAATTTTTTCTTGCATCAGAGGGAACGGTTTTCTCAAGAAGGCCTGTAGACAACAGACTGGAAAAGACAGAGGGGAAGAAACAGACCAAACAGAATGCAATTGCAAAGAGAGTCTTAGAAACACTTTCTGGGATTTACAAATTTCAATCTGGTTAAAACAAACAAACAAAAACACCAGTATCTGTAGTTGGTACATTAAAAGGACGTTGGACGATGATAAACTGTAGAGCACATGCTTGCCTCCCTGGTATTAAATTGTAATTAAGACAGAGAGAGAGAGAGAGAGAGAGAGAGAGAGAGAGAGAGAGAGAGAGAAGAGAGAGAGAGAGAGAGATATCTTGGGCTCCAACTAAGGACCTCATGGGCATTTTTATTTATATTTATATTGGAATACTTTCTGATCTCTAGGTCTTGTGGTAGGTTCTGTAGGTGTAGAGGACACTGTTTCAAGATCTCAGAGTTTAGCAGGGACATGAAATTGCCACATAAAACTCTAAGACAAGGCACAAAGCACTAAAGCACTAATTTTTCTAAAAGGATACAGAGTAGTAGAAAGGGACATTTTCCTGTGGGATAGTGGCTCTCAGCTTTGGTCTGAGTAAGAAATATCTTCTGCTTCTTTTTTTAAGTATTTTACTGTTTTTATTTTTTATGTGTATGCATGTATTGCCTGCATATATGTAAGTGCACCCATGTCCTGCAATGCCCACAGAGGACAGAAGAGGGCATCAGATCCCTTAGAACTGGAATTACAGGCAATTGTTAGCTGTCATGTGGGTGCTAGGATTTGAACCCTGGTCTTCTGCAAGAATAGCCAGGGTTCTTAACTGCAGAGCCAACTCTCCAGCCCCCCAAAATACCTTCTGCTTCTTAAAACACAGCACCCCAGGCTCAGAGGTTTTGACCACATGGACTATGGTGCTTAATTTTCACTGTCAACATGACTAGATTTAGAATTACCTGGTATACTGGTGAAGTATATTTTTTACTATGCCTGTGAGGATTAACTGAGGAGAGACCCATCCCAAATGTAGGTGACACCATCCTGGCAGGTTGCAGACTCAGATGGAATAAAAGGATTAAAAGGAGAAAGCCAATGGACCATCCTGGCCCACCCCAGTATGAACTGTGATGTTCTTACACTCCCATACCATAATTGACTGACTCCTCTGAAACTGTGATCCAAAAGAAATCTTTCCTCTCTTAAGCTGTTTCTATCAAGTGTTTTATCACAGTGACCAGAAAAGTAAATAACACAAAAGATCCCTTCCCACAAGTGGGATTCTTGCTATAATTAAACCTGACCATGTAGTTCTTAGACCTTTGAAGCTTGTTTGCTGGAGGAATTTGGAAGAGCTAAGAGATACAGGCTAGAGAAGCCCTAGAATGTAGTGTGAAGAGTTTCACAGGCAATTCTGGTGGGAGTTCAGAAGACTAGAATAACAGAATTAGAGGTAGTGAAGACTGGGCTCCTGAGGCTTTCGATGGGAATGAGGACTCTGTTGGGAATTGGACTAGAAGCCATTTGAATTGCATTCTGACAAGGAATTTGTCTATATTTTATCTGTGTCTATAAACTTTATCAGAGGCTGGTTTAAAGGTGACAGACTCATTTGGTAGAGGAAATTTCAAGACAGCATAGCATTTAGGGTATGATGTGGTTATTGCTTTTAGCCAGGTTGATGGTGAGAATCAGGACAACAGAAGAATTTGAAAAGCACATACAGTATGACAGGAAAAGAGTAAAGTTAAAGCTGTGGACAAAGAAGGTGGTGGTTGCTAAAGTGATTGCTGGCATTAAAAAGAAGCCAAAGGCTAGGGAGATGACTGAGCTGGCAGAGGCCCCTGCTGCTAAGCCTGAGGCCCTGAGCTGGTTACCCAGATCCCACATGGTGGAAGGAGAGAACTGACTCCTGTAGTTGTCCTCTGACTTCCATATGGACACTGTGGCACACATATGCCTCCTCATCTCAACCACACACACAAAGTAAATAAGCATTTTTTTACTTTTAAAAAAGCCAGGCACTTTCCA